ATAATTATTTAATAATATTTTTTTAATAAATTTGTGGAGAAAAATTTTTAGGGCCACATTTTAAATTTTCGAACAGGGCCTCCGAATATCATGGGACGGCCCTGCCTGTGTTCTCCTCTGTTCCCTTCTTCTTCCTCAATCCCTCCTCTCCTACACTTTCCCTTCCTTTTCCCAGAACCCAAACGACTTGCCAAGACTATTCTTCCTCCCAGGGTGTGACAAAAAGAGCATATAGGCGCTGGGGAAGAACAGGGGCGGATCGATCCGAGATGGGGAAGGTTTAGAAAATGAGGGCGAGAGGGAGAATGGGCCAGATTCTCTTTCTCCTTTCGTTTCTTTTTCCAGAGAGGAAACAGAGAGTGAAGGGGGGCTGGAAAACTGGTGCGGCTAGGTTAAAGGGTTGTGTTTTTGCTCTAAAACCCAAATAACGACTTAACCATATCTGCTACAACAAATTTCTTTTTCAATAAATTCTCTATTATGTCTTAATTAAAACATTCTTAATATAATTGAATCACGAATCAATAGAAATAGAATGTGATAAATCCTTCAGTTAATAATAAATTAATTAACGAGAATACTCATATTAAAGTTATTTAACACATGTAATCATATTCTTAATCCAAGTGAATTAAATATAATTCACATTCCGAATCACTTAAATGAACTACGTGGACTTTGATTCTGACTACTCGGGTACTTAGGCAACCAATAGGTTCGAGTCGAAGTAATCACAAACTTTTTCTTTAATTTTGAGAATTATGTCAATAAACATTCGATCAAATTGTATATTAATCGATGCCTAATTAATTGAATCTCATAATTAAATACGTAATTAAAGCCAAGTATTAATAATACACTTATCCTTAAGAACTTATAGAATTAAGTAGTACCAATTTTGGGGCGTTGTAGGATGTGAATACACTTCCACACGTAACCGGACTCCCGAATCCAAATCTCTAAAACTCTGCAGATCAGGTTCCGGTTTCGACCCTGAGGTGGAGCCCGAATCAAAAGGTATTTGATCCACCGCAATTAAGATCGATGGCGACTCCGAGCAATTCGCGACTGGCACGTTACGACACAACACCAAACTGCGACCAAGTTTAATCGCATAGTGGAAATGCAGAATAGTGGTTAAGTCTAATTATCGACCCTGGCTCTTGATCTACTGCCTACTCAGTGAACTCCTATTATCTAGCAGGACTAAGAGAGTGAAGTGATTTCAGTGCAAAAGATACAAAAAGAAAGTAATGGTATAGTTCTTTTCAGGTTCAAAAGGTCATATGGATATGGTTCCCCCTAGTGTGCAGTTAGTTCAGGCATTACGATCCCAAAATACTCAGACTGATAGATTAACCGTTGAAAGTTATTCCTTGGTCTGGAATCTCGACTAAAGTTATCCAGAGCCTCTTGGTTTGAATACCCATCGGGTGTCTAACCTCCAGTGGTATACACTAACGAAGGTTAAACACGCGAAACTTCCACTACTGGCCTTTGTTCACGTACAGAGCAGTGAATCGACTTCTCGACTAAAGCAGTCGATTCACCACTTTCAATTAAAGGTTTCTCTTTTAACCTATGCAGAGACTATCGTTCTAGGTTAAAGTCCAAAATACACAGGTTTGATCAGGACTCATGCAATTCTGAATAATGCCTCAATTGAATTTACCCAATCAATCATTCATAACATGGGGTTCATATAATCATTCCTAACATACACAGCTAGGGTTCTTCATACCCAGATGAAATGGAAAATTACTCCATGGAGAGATGTGAGAACGTCACGCTCGGAGTAAACATCATCAGAACAACAACGAACAACTGCTCCTGGAGGCTAATCAGTACTCCGAGGTTGGGGAATCGATCTCCGAGGTCTTCAGATCGCTCCAATCCTTTCCCTTGGGTTTTGCGTTGTCACTCTCTCTAGGGTTCCTTTTATGACTTTGGAAGTCCAAAAAACTGGATCGCTTGCAAATTTTCCGAGCATCCCTTTTAAAGGCTGAGAGTTCCCGTGTTACGGCTGAAGTTATGGCCGTAACTTAACTTCCTCGCCGGTAACTCTCCAGAAAATGACGTCGTTGTTGCACTCCGTAAACCAAGAGTTACGGCTTCTTTGGAGGATTTACAGCCTCGACCATAACTTGAAGAGGGAGATCGTAACTCCAAAAATGCCTCTGGAACTGATGTCGTCGCTCTCCAGGAGTTACACTTGCAAAGACTGAGTGACGACCCATACCATAACTTCGAAGGTTTGCCCGTAACTCCAACAAGTCTCCTGGAACTCTGCATCCTCCAATCGCTAGTAACGGCTCCTTGAGGGGAGTTACGGGGCATACCGTAACTCCCAGGTACTCACTACCCATTCGCTCCAGAATGTCCAAACTTCGCTCCTTCGCGCCTATTCACGTACTAGGTCCTGAAACATCATAAACGAACACAACCTAGCTTAAAATAGGCCACAAGATGCGATAAACCAAGCTTAAACGGTCGAGAAATGACGGGAAAACAAGTTCAAAATGGCGTTATCAAATTCCCTTACACTTAACCATGTCCCAAACAAACCTAACTCAAACCAATGCATCTCTTCTGACCTTTATAGCAAAACACAATCCCGATTGTTGGTAGAGGATTTCCTAGATCAATTAGCAACTTACAAGGTCAACTGGTCTTCTAAGATGTTCCCTATCTCTCTCACTGTGAGTACTACTCAATCAAGGATCATGAGAAGCAATGGAACTAGGACAGTAAATTCATTGATAAAGAGGCTCCGAAGTTTAACAACTAAGGACTCTTCGTATCAGGTGCTCTTCCATTCCATTTCATTCGTTGGAACCCCTTTTTCATGCTTTTGTTTTCTTCTTCTTTTGTTTTTCTCATTCACACTTTGATGGGGTTCCAAACTGCAGTTTTATGCGCGGTCGACCCTTATTGATGGAGCAAGAGCAAATTTTGTACATCTGTCACTTGCCAATGGGTGGAAGCTCTATTATGGAGAGTCAATGAAATTAAGGGGGGTCGGAAGCTCTATCCGTGCCCTGAAAAACACATCCTCGAGTAGGCAAACTGTTCAACGGGTGGAATTTTTACTTGTACTAGAGACAACTTAGCGTCACCTTGTAGGCCTACTCAATTAAGGATCACTAAAATCTCTTCCAAACCAGATTTTGTGCAATGAACTATGCCACACACGTTGGTCTTACCCCATGTTTAAAATTCCAAGTTTTTCCGACATGGGGGGACCAACTACTTTTTTATTCAATTAAGCACCATCTACGATACACGAGACCACAACACAACATAGGGAGAGTCATCCATACCACATGAAATCCACTAGTTCACAAAATCAACCAGCATAGCAAGGAGACAGATAGGAAAAATCATATACTTCAACATCCTCCATAGTGCTACAACTACCTCCCTAGGTTGCAAATAACCATAAAGACTGTCAATTCACAACATACTGAGCCAGTTTTTTTTGCAGTGAACAGTACTTGGAGCCCTAAAATCGTAAGATTTGGATAGTGCACTAGGCTCCAAGCACACAAACATATCATGAAATCAAAGATAAACACCCCCCACACTTAAGCACGACAATGACAACATTTCCCTCAATGGACAAGAGGGAAAGATAAGGGGACGATGTTACCGGAAAAATGGACTACAGTGGGACTGGAAATGGGAACAGTTGTCTGAAGCGGACTGGCGGATCAGATTCTGAGAACAACTTAAAGGCGAACACAAACACCCATACTGGGTAAGAGTTAGGAACATCAATGTCAGCTCCATGGGATACACAAACACTCATGTTGAGGAAAGGTTCTATAGGCAAAAGTCAAGGGTTGATGTCATCCGTAGCAGCGGTTCCAAATTTTTCCTGCCCAAATGCATGGTCATATTCCCTAGGTCTCCCACAACCACTTACTAAGATGGTGATGGACGGGTTCTATGTTGAAAGAAAAAATTGTGTTAGAAGTTGAGGTGTCTCCGATTTTGCAAAACAGAAAGTAAAAGAAGACTAGTGCGAGAAAAATACATCTATTGAAGATAACCCTCGTCTTAAGCATTCAATCGAATTGATAATAAACCAAACGTAAGAACAAACAAAAAGATAGAAGAATAAAAAAACATCATATATTAACTTACATCAAGGATTAAATAGTCAATAACCTCTAGGGTTCTACAACCATGAGCGCTCACTCATCCGGCCACCTTCACTTAATGTCTTATTATTTTTCTGTCTTAAAATTCTCTAAGTCCCCAAAAAAATTTCTTTCTTGTCCACTGTTAGTTTCCTTTGCTCGGTTCGTCTATCTATTTTCGAAACCAAGACCCCCGAAAGATGATCCCTGGTTGTCTTGGTTTGCCATGAGAATAATAAACACCAATCCCTAGCCGCTACCCACCTCCTTTTGTTTGCCTCCTAAGCAAGAAGTTTTAGAGGAGCAAAATGGGTTTTGTTATACCAGAGTCTGAAATCCTTTCTATGTCACCACTCTCATATGAACCCTCGTTGCCGACTTGTCCTTCAAGAAATCTAGAATCTTGTTTTCGTTTTGTTTGCGGTGTTGTTCGGAACACCTTGATATAAGATGTCTGAAACATCTACGTGCACGACAAAGATTCCTTTCTCCACCTGTGTAAATGTAGGGAAAAAAGAGAAAAACCTATATGATGATTATGTAGGCCTCTCGGCCATTTTAACCATTCGCAGTCAATAATAATATCAGAGCTGGAGAGACTGATCTCTCCCGTGGATTAGTCCTGACAAATCATCAGGAATAACACGTAAAATCTCGTGTCTTCTTGCGTTTATTCTCGATTTTACACTCTAAGCGTCCCAATTGCGGATATTCCTCAATTCATGCCAACCATATATACTAAACTCAACAGTCCTTCAATCAACTTATCAGATAATTTATTCTTGAAAGAAAACAAATATCTTAATCAGCGCAATTACACATAAATATTTTACTATACCAACGAATGCAATAATTCAATTATATCTCGAGCTTAGTCCAGCACCAGGAATCCCCACGGATAGGGATCTCGCTAATGTACATGGTCATGTGACACTCCGTATAGACCGACCCTTTCTTCTTGATCCCCATTATCGACATCTTCCCGCGCATGGTCGCCGTCGCGGTAAGGTTCAGACTGCCGCTAACGATATCGTTGATCGCCTTGGGGTTCTCCCTCAGCTTCTTGGCCCGCAGGGTCGCGTATGCCGTGATGTTCATGGACGCTTGTTCGGGGATGGTGTCGGCCAGGATCGGAACCCATCCAACGAGCTCCCCGTCGTAGGTTATGTGGCTGGTCGTGTTCTCGAACTTGAAGCTGCCGTGGTTTCTGTTGCGAATGCTCATCACCATTTCGCTGGTGATGGTGTCCTGAGTGATGAAGTCGTCAAGTTGGAGCTTCGCTAAACCCGTGGGATAGAGGACGAGGTCCGGGTCGTGTCGCTTGAACACGGTGAACGCGAGCGTCACTAAAACTATGGTAGTGATGACGGCTATAACCGTGGCGGATATACAGCAGAGCTTGATGGCGTAGTTTTTGCCCTTTATCATGGTTAGAGTCTGTGGGGAAAGGAATAAGAGAACTCGAGGAAGAAGAGAATGAGAAGGATTGAGTTGGGTAAAAATTAAATGATTTGTTGGTTGATATGAGAATTAGGGTTGCCGTTTCGCTGCGGTATTTAAGAGGATGAAAAAGAATTGTATATTCATGACTACAAAGTTGATGCGAATTGGACCACGGAGAATGAAACTTCGTCGGTTGCTTATATTCTCGTTCCGGTACGCGACTAGGAAAATTAATTTTGGTTATCTTGTGCACGAGCAGAGCCGGGGGTTTGTGTCTGCTAATTTGATAAGTTGCTGTGCACTTGCCGTTGCCGCAGCGGCCGATGCTTTTGGGTGGCCGAAAGCGCATATAGGAAGGAATAAATAGCGGCCGTATATCATTCAATATCTGAATCTTTATGAATGAGTTTTAAGGATAGATATATATCCTTTTCTTTTCACGTATGAAAGTCATCGTTATCGATAAATTCAGTTTACAAATCAGAGAATCCAAATAGAAATGGTCGATTTAATTACAATTTAAATTTTATGTGTTCGATTGGTATCTTATGACGTTCTCACGTTCAATGAAAAGTACTGAAATGATAGTGGGCAATGAATAAATAAATAAATATTGCTTTGTAGAGCTCTCTCCTCTCTCATCGCTTTGGTCGCCGCTCTTTGCTGAGCACATATACATATCGCTCAGTCTAGGGTTTCTAAAAAAGAGAACGTAGGGGATTCGAACTTCCAACCAAGTTTTTTTTTTTTTACAAAAGATAATCATATAGATTGATAAGAGATAAGAGCACGTTACATCCTGGAATTAAGCCAGGCCTGAAAATCAAAGAAACGACTCGTAGTCGGATACAAAGTGAGGGCCTTTCGAGCCACTAAATGGGCTACCCTATTATTACACCGACCTACAAATCTAATCGAAAACCCAGGATGAGCCGCAAAATAATGAATAACTTCTTCAAGAACAGCACCCATCCGGCTGTCCCTGGAATCAGCCTGGTTGATTTTGTCAATGACAATCTTCGCGTCTCCTTCAAACCTCACTTCCGCGACCCCGTGACCTATGCATCCCAAAAGCGCCTCTCTCAGGGCCAGTAACTCCACTACAGCAGGGTCCTGCACACCCGGGAATTGGGTTCCTTGTACAAAGAGGACCTCCATAGCCGAATTCAAGATTACAAAACCTCCAGCCGAATGTGTCCCATGACTAGTAGCCCCATCCCACTGACACACAACTGAGCCAGCCTGAACAGAACTAGGAATCCGGGGTACGGGGAACGAGGTCCGGGGAACTAGCTCAACTGGCAAATGGATCCACTCCTCCACTTGTTGATGGAATTGACGCAGGAGCACAGGGATCCCAAACTGCTTTCCTTCGAAAACAACCCAATTTCTGGAACGCCAGATCCTCCAGAGGATAGCTACCACTGCCATGAGCATAGAAGGTTCACTCACCCGTGCGAGTAATTCTTTGAGAAACAGAGGGAAAGTATGCCTCGGCAACCCTTCGCCCAAAAAATCGAATCCCGAAAACTCCCACAAAGCTCTCGCCACCGGGCAGTCTAAAAATAAGTGTTCCATCGTTTCGGACTCTGCCCAGCAAACCGGGCAACGAGGGAGCACCGGAACCTCCTTTTCCCGCAAGGCCTCCGTAGTAGGGAGGATTCGATGGAATAACTGCCAGACGAAGACTTTGAGCTTAGGCGGAATGTTGGCCTCCCAAAGTCGAATCCAACTAGCCTTATCCATCCAACTCGCCAAAGACCGCCAGCGCCCTCGTTTCTGATCAAGATTAACCGCAAGGTGATAGGCGGATTTCACCGTGAAACTCCCATCAGGAGAGTAATGCCAAATGAGGCGATCCTCCACGTTTTGCCGGGGAAGGGGAATAGCTTTAATTGCCGCACAAGTAGCCGGGGAAAACCACTGGCTTAGCTTGACATCATTCCAACGCCCTTCTCCCTGACACATGACCTCCTCAACCTTAGGGTCCCCTCCTGCCGGCAACACTCGAGGGTTGGAAACGAGGGGCCAAGGATGGGTTTGAGGGACCCACTTGGACTCCAGCAGAGAAGCCGTCCTCCCATTCCCAATTTGCCATCGTAGCCCCTCCTCCAGTAGTTGTCGTCCATATAAGACACCCTGCCACCCCCAAGAAGGTCGAGAACGCGCAGTTGCTTTAACAAATGTCCCATTAGGAAAGTACTTCCCTTTATAGACCTGAGCCAGAAGGGAATGAGGTTCATTAAGAATCTGCCAACCAATCTTTGCCAACAAAGCTTGATTGAATTGTTCAAAGCGACGGAACCCCATCCCCCCATCATGCTTACTCTTGCACATATTCCGCCAGGATACCCACCTAATTCTTGGCTGGCCCTCAACCGCCCCCCACTAGAAGCGAGCCACATGCTTGTCAAGGAGCCGGCAAAGAGACAGGGGAAGCTTGAAGCAGGACATAACATGTAAGGGAAGCGCTAAAGCTATTGACTTAATCAGAGTCTCCTTAGCTGCCCAAGACAATGTCCGCTGTTTCCATCCCTGAAGCCGTTCAAGCAGTTTTTCTTCCAAGTACCGAAAGGTATCCATTTTGGAACGGGAGAAGAGTGTTGGGAGGCCTAGATACTTGTCATGGACTCCCACCGCACCCACCCCCAGAATTTGAGCCAAAAATTCTTGATCCGGCAAACGGATATTTTTACTAAAGCACACGCTGATTTGGCCAAATTAACCTTTTGACCACTGAGTTCCTCATACTCATTCAAGACCTCCAGTAAATTCTCACATTCCTGGAGAGATCCACGCAGGAATAGATAAGAATCATCAGCAAAGAATAAATGAGAGATCCTGGGAGCACGAGGAGCCACCTTAACGCCTTCTAAGTTTTTCTCCAAAATGGCCTTACGCAAGAGCGCCGCAAACCCCTCTGTACAAATAACGAACAACAATGGCGATAAGGGGTCCCCTTGTCTCAGTCCCCGGGAGGGGGCGAAATATCCAGAAGGGGTACCATTCATCAGAACCGAGAACGAGGTGGAACGGAGGCATTCATGGATCCATCCTTTCCAAACCGAGTTGAAACCCATCTTGTCCAAAACCGCAAGAAGAAATGGCCATTCGACTCTATCATAGGCCTTTTCCATGTCAACCTTTAGATCCATGAACCCTTTCTTACCTCGCGTTTTGATTTTCAAGTAATGCATCAATTCATGTCCGAGAAGGATATTTTCCACTATTTTTTGATCCCGAATGAAGGCATTTTGACCCTCGGAAATGATTTGAGGCAGAATAGTAGCCAAACGCCCCGCCATGATTTTGGTAATAATTTTGTACACAAATTGGCATAAGCTGATAGGTTGTAACTGCCTCATAGACTCCACATTATCCACCTTAGGGATCAGAGTGAGCCAGGTATGGTTAAAGCTCCGGAGCATTTTACTCGTCACAAAGAAAGAGGTGACTGCCTCTACTACTGAAGTCCCCACAATGTCCCAAAAGGCCTTGAAAAATTTCCATGTGAAACCATCAGATCCTGGAGCTTGTTTAGAGCCCATTGAGAACACCGTATCTCGAATCTCCTGAGGGAGAACTTTTGCTGTGAGGCCACCATTCATCTCTGGCGCAACACAGTGAGAAATGGGGAGAGAGGCCACTCGAGCCGAAATATCCGACACCTTATCCTCTAAGGTGAATAGGGTTTGATAAAATGTATTGGCAATGTTAGCCTTCCCATTCTCCGTCGTGACCCACTCACCTTCCTCACTCCGCAGGCCCGCCACATAATTTCGCTTCCTACGAGCTCTAGTAACCGTGTGAAAATAAGCCGTATTCTTATCTCCTTTTATCAACCAGTGAACTCGAGATTTCTGTTGCCAATAAAATTCCTCCGCCTCCCATTGCCTACTTAACTCAATTTCCAGCCGTCGGATCTCCTCCCAGTCAATAGGGTGGATTAGTTTAATCCGATCAATTTCAGCTTGGAGGGTTCGGATGTTCCGTAAAGAATTAGTCGTGCCAGCCCTGCTCCAGTCATAAAGCAAGTGCCGAAGTTTCTTTAAGCGCTCCCACAGTCGAAACATCGGATTACCTTGGATCTCCTCCTGCCAGACATATTGCACCATAGCCCTCACCTCCGGATTATCCGCCCACCGAGCGTCAAACCGAAACAGGGGACGGCTATTACGGGCATAAGGTTTGTCAGAGAGAAGAAGAGCTCGATGGTCAGAACCCAGGTCCGTAAAGTGTTTTACTAGGGTTTCTGGGAACAGATCCACCCATTTCTGGGAGCATAGAGCTCTTTCCAATCTAGCTCGAACGCAAGCCGTACCCATCCGCTTATTTGTCCAAGTAAACTGATCACCAAGAAACCGTGGGTCATGCAGGCCCAGATTTTGAACAAAATCACGAAGGCTCAGGGCGTGAGCAGCATTCCAAGGAAGCCCACCATCTTTTTCCCCAGCATTAAGAGTAACGTTAAAGTCACCAATGAGCACATAGGGAAGATGGATATCCGCACAAATGCCAAGCAGCTGATTCAATTGGGAAGTACGAGTCGTCCCATTACAACTTATATAAACAAAAACCACCACATAAGAATAATAACTTTCATTGATTCGAACACAAATACAAAAATTTGAATGAAAAAAAACCGAGGCATCAACCCCCGGGGACCAAGCAACAACTAACCCTCCCGATGCATCAATTGCATCCACACAAAAAAAAATGACTATCATTACCTAAGCCCTGCATACGACGGGCAACTACTCTCCGGTTCGATCGTGTTTCCGGAAAAAACGCGAGATCCGGTTTATTGGAATGAATTAAACCAACAGCAGTTTGAAATGTGAGGGATGGTCCAATTCCTCTCACATTCCAGGCAAGCAGCCTCATTTATCCGGATGGGGCCACTCCCGGCTGGCTACCTCCACCGTTTCCAATTCATCTTTTTCTTCCATAAACAGCTTTTTTGGTGATGGAGAGTCAGCAATATC